TGCTTATTTGTCACCCAACTGGATAAAAAAGAGGGCATGTGTTGGGGCGGGGGGTGAGGGGGTGGGAAGAGGTCATTGGGGGGAAAAGGAGACTCATGTAATACTTTAAATAATAAAGAATTTAAATTAAAAAAAGAATGTTTATATCAATAATACCTACATTTCAGACAACTGAAAACAATCCAAATGTTCCATCAATAGTACCGTGAACACATTGTGTACTATTTTGCTCAAGGTAATGCTGCATGGCAAAGAGAACGATCAAATTACAACCACTTAGAACAATATGAATAAACTTCACAAGCCTAATATCAGGCTATGGAAACCAGACACAAGAGAGGAGGCAATTTGTATAATTTGTTTATATAAAGTCTAACAACAGAAGAAGAAAAGAAAACCCCGAATCTACACCCTTAAAAGTCAAGGTTATGGTTACAGTTGGAGGACAGCACCTAGAGGAGGACACGAGGGGCCTTCTGCGTGCTGATATATTCTGTTTCTTGATCTTTGTGTTGGTTACATGAACGTATTCACTATACGGCAATTCAGTGAGCTGTATGTTTCTGATCTACGCTCTTTTCTGTTCTGTCTGATATACTTCAATAAAAGCAGGGTGGCCCAGCTGGTGTGGTTCAGTGGTTGAGCATTGATTCATTAACCAGGAGGTCACCAGTTCGAATCCTGGCTAGGGCACATGCCTGGGTTTCGGGCTGGATCCCCAGTGGGGGTGTGTGCAGGATTGTTGTTTCTCTCTCATCATTGATGTTTCTCTCTTTCTCTCCCTTCATTTCTGGAATCAATAAAAATATATTTAAAAAAGTAAAATCAATAAAAACATATTTTTTTTTAAAGAGAGAAAAATAAGTAAAAGAGGGTGAATGTAAAGGGCATATCACGGCCGCTGACAAAGTAAGTGCCTCAGTAAATGTTAGCTACTGCGGAGGAATGAAGGAAAACCCATACCTTGTCCCCAAGTGAAGTTCATTAACAATCAGAACCATGGACGGATTAGAGTCTGTCCCCGAGGAAGGCTGGAGGAAAAGCAAGAGGTTCGGGCCTGCTGCCTGGGACAGGACCGAGGCCGGACTCTGGCCTCCCGGTAGTCAGTGTTCAGTGCCTGCGGGGCCATTGCTACCATGCAGAAAGGACTCCTCCTGGCGGACCGTGGGTATCTGTGTGCGTTTTCATGCAAATTTCATCCTTTTTAAAAAATGTCTGCAGCGCCTTGTTTTTCTAAGCCAGTGAATGCTGAAAGCTCCCTGGAGAGGCCAGTCCGAGATCTGGTCTATCTAACGGTTTGCTCAGGCTCTTGTAGGCGTTCTCACGGTCCTGAGCGTGTATTTATCTGGTTAGAGGACAGGAAAGAGACTCCAGTCAGGGAAACCTGTGACAGATCTTCTCTCAGTCATGCCCAAGGTCCAGGAAGAAGGCATATTTTATGTCAATCTAATGAGCTGCTTTCCTTGGTAGTGCGTTCCCTGTCACTGTGAGCATCCAGACAGAGGCTGCACCACGACCTGTCAGGGTATTGCCAGGAGTACTTCTACCACATGAAGAATTTGCCCAGATGCCAGCTGAGGGCACTCTAAGGCTAAAATTCTATTATTTAAATCAACACCAAATTTCCTTGAAGGCATGAACTACTTCTTTCTGCATTGCCACCGCTCCCCCCGCCCCCCAGGGTTTTCCCTTTTTCCTAAGAATTGAAATATATCATGTTC